TTCTATTTTTAAATAATTATAGAAAGTTAAGAAGAATATATTACCTCTGATAAGTATTATATTATTTTAATTAAATATTTATTTTGGTAAGACAAATTTAACAAAATCAAATTTATAAAAGTCTGACTAATTATTAAAAAAGTAAATTTACAATTTTGCAATTAGAAAAATGATCTATTATGATATATTTTTATTAGATTTTACAAATTATCATATTTTTATTTTTTAATTAATATTAATTTGCTATAAATCTAGTATTTTATTTATATATTTGCTTTTATAAAAAATGTTAATATTAAAATAAAATTCATATAATAATCTCACTACTTTTATTTTTTGTTAAAAGAATTAGAATAATTTAAAATATATTAGTAAAAAACAATTATATGAATTATTTTAATTGAATTTTTTAGAAACAAAAGCTTTCTTTGCAATTTAATATTAAAAATAATTCAAGTTAAATTTTATATAAAATACCATATTAACAAATTTTATAATTTTAGTTTTCTTTTGTTATATAATTTTATAGTTATTTTTGAAAAACAAATTTTTTAACACATTGTATATCAAACATATATTCAATTTTACAATTAGAAAAATTTACATTAAAATATCATAGCTTAATAAGAAAATCATGTAAATATATTCTTTAAAATGTTAGAAACAAGTTTTTTTAATATTACAAAGCATGTTAACAGAGTAAAATTGTGAAATTTCATGCCAAAAGTGACAATTGAAATTTTTAACATTTAAGTTGGAATAAAAATTTATTTAAAATATTTTTAATAAGCAATTTTGAAATAATTTTATGAAAATATATTTCATGATATAGAGAATATATTTATAATTTTTTAGTCCATCTTTATTTAATAAATATTATTCAAGAAAGGCTTTATTTTGAATAAAATATAGTAAAAATGTTATTTATTAAATAAAAATGACTGAAAATTTTTTTAAAATTACAAATATATTCTCTATAAAATGAAATATATTTCCATAAAATTATTTTCAAAATTGCTTATTAAAGATATTTTTAAATAATTTTTTATTCCTACTTAAATGTTAAAAATAATTTCAATTCGTCACTTTTGACACGATATTTCGCACTGTGTACCTATAAATCTATTAATAAAACATACAAAATCAAAAATTTTACTCTATGTAAACGAGTTTAATTTTATTAGCAAATATTTTAAATTTAATATGAGAATAAAGATAATTACAGTCCCGGCGAAAATAATGGCGGACGTGTTTTTTGCTTATATCTTAATGAGGAATCATTAAAAAATCGGGAAAATTGTAGATATATTCTTTAAAATGTTTTGAACAAGTTTTCTTAATACCACAAAGCACATTAACATAGAAAAATTTGATTATGGGTGAGGGAGGTTGTGATATATGAAAGTAACAAGAATAAAGCCATGTTTAGGATTATAAATTCTATAAATTATATATAATATAGTCAGACCATATAAATGCCCTCAGGATCGGTCTTGGGCATGCATTCAAAGAGGGTGCTCTATGGAGATTTGACTGTATATTTAGTTATCTAAAACAAGATGATAGTATATCGACAAATTTTGTAATATTAAATCTACAGTGTACACTATACTTGATATTTGATATAATGCTATACATATTCAACAGTTGTTCCTTATCTTCTGCTTGATTAATATATCTTTTCATCTTTGCTATGTTTATTCCATAATAAGGAAGTTTTATATAAATGTCCTAGAACATGTCCATGTACATAGGGTATTGTTTGGTAACAACCATGGGAAATGTCTTAGATATATGTAAAACTTTGTGATAGAAAGTCAAAAAACTTATATGTAATATGTCTGTAAAAAAAATTCTGGAATATATGAAAAAGTCTGATATGTCTGTAATAGGTCACTTTTTACGTGTATTTCACACATATAGACATGTAAATCGCGTATATAAAAGGAGAACGGTTAAAGCGTAGTCCATCACGTGATATATCTTAAAAATGTTAAAAGGTAATTTCAACGTTGGGGTTAGGGTTGGGATTGGGAAGGAGATCAAGTTTATATTTAAAATTGCCTTCCCGATATTTTTAATTAGTGCTCCAAAAAAGATTTAAGCACTTGTTTTCAGTATTTTTTCATTTTTGTCTTTGCTTCAAATTTGTTTTGCCGGATTGATTAAAAATTTACGCATCCTCATTGGTTTGTTTTTCGGACAGATTATCGGATGGACTACGCTTTAACCGATCCCTATAAAAGGTAGTAAAGTCTGTTTGTCCTACATTTATTCAATTACTTCCACACAAATAGTGACCTTTTGCGTGTTCTTTTACAGACATACAAGATTTTTTCGTATCTTCCATACTTTTTATAGGCATATATTAAAATTTACAGGCGTATCTTTCTTATAGGGCCTGATAAAACTATGTAATTAATGCTAAAAGATATTACATAGTCACTCGTTCCAAAAATTTCTGAGCCGGTTTTATCAAGCATGACTATATATCTTATAATTTGTTGTTATGTCGGACAAGTTACCGGACAAAATCTAATGTATACGAACATGTCTATAGGTATTTTGTTTGAGGACACGTATATACGTATCTTTCTATTATCACCAGACAAATACCTATGTCTTAGCGCGTATAACATTAAAAGATGCACTTAAATTTTGATGTTATTAGGTTTGTTTATAAAAAAAAGAAAACCTTTTATCAAATTCTTCAACAGTTACACATAAATGTGATGTTTAATTAATTATCGGAATAAAAGTGATTGGTTAAAAAAACACGATTTGCAGCTAAAAAAGGATTATCAACCCGAGATTCATTTAATTAAAAATTAGCTGCTATTTATAAGTAAAGTTTATTCATTAATATAATAGAGATTGAGACGTTTTCTCGGATGTTCCGAAATTTTGTCCGGTCTAATATTAGAAATAATGCACGTATAGAATGAATATACTATGCAATTCCTTTTTCATGAGATTGGAATCAACCGGAATTTTATAAGTAGCACAATAAAACTGTGTTTGCAGTTTGCAATGAAACTTTGATTGCGACGAAGTTTTTCCCAAATACATGTATTCGTTATTTTTTCTGGCAAAACACACGCGCTAAACGTGACACACAGTAAATCGTGTCGATCTTCGAAAATATATTTAATAAACTGATAGTATATTTCCGACAAGAAAAATTTCCTATAAATGTATCAGCAACCTACTACAAATACTTATTCCTCGTTACTTTCGAAAATTGAATTTCAGACGGGCGCGTCAGCAAATACGGTTGGTTCGGATATTTATCAAGAATCAATGGAAAAAACTTCTTCACTGACTAGTAGTGATTACGCAATACAAGAAACAGAAGAAGATAACAGTGATGACGAAAATAAATTAAACGAGACTCCACTTCCTCCTCCAAGTCAAAGAAGCAGGTTGGGAAAATTTCGTTGGCTAGGGCTCACTTTCTGCAACGCTTATACTTTACTAGGGAGTTTTTACCTTTTGTATTATTATCAAACAAAGGTAAGTTTTATTTAAACGAGTATGTATAAGCAGTCATAATATATTCTGAGATATCTCTTTGATGATTAATTACAGAACCATATAAAAGCCGACTTTGAGAGTAAAGCCGTCTTAGCGTATGTTCTAATAGAGACACTATTCCGGGTATATGTAGCAACACAAATAAGATCGTGGTCAAATAGACCATTAAAATTCATTCAAGACATAAGCATTATACTAGGTAAGAAGCTAATATCTCACATCATAAAAAAAAGAGCGCTTGGAGTTTAAATTGATTATCGAACGTTTGATTATTTCATTTAAAGGTCGACAAGATTATCTTCTTTTAAATCATAATCTATTCACACTGACAGGAGATTCAACTGCCGTATTCTATATGTTTGCAACAATAATAGCCGATGCATTATTTGGAGCATATTATTGTTTTCTTGTTATAGCGACCCATTGGGCTCATAATAGAGCAGATAACACTTTTTCATTTTTCATAAATACAATTACAGCAGCAAGTACTATACTAATTTTAAGAATTTTTTGGCGTTGGACTTTTGCTAGTCAGGATCGTTCTGTATCTTTTTCACACAAGTTAAGGCGATTAAATCGGTGATTACCGTTACCCTTCAATTTTTAAATATAGAAAATTTTAATATAAGTATAAAATAATTTGAATAAAAAATTGCAAGGGGTACATGCACACATATATTGCATTTTGGATTAGTAAATCGATCGAACAAGCGAGCCAATCAATATCAAATCGCATATTAGACTTCTCCCAAAATCTGACTAAATATCTCCGCAAGAATTCCGTAACGATATTGACTACTCATTGTTGTTCATCTTTCCTATTAATGTGCATACATATCGATATCGATATGCATGTATAATCAAATTGTATCGTGTCACATAAAATAAATAATGCACGCATTCTGGTAGGGATATATTCTACATGTACATACACCTGTTAAAACGTTCCAACAAAATTTCAAACAATCTGGTTTGTGATTCACTATCGATATCGCTATTGCTGTTTTAAACCGGATTTACAATCGTACATGTACAAATTTCTGATTGAAAATATTAACGTTAACTATTATAGTAAATAATATAGTACATGTACATGTACATGTCTCCATATGCAGCAGAAATGGTGTAAATTGTAGTCTTATCGTTATAGTCAATAAACAACTTTTTTGTAATTTAAGATAAATGCTATTCTCTAATAGATAAACGGTCAAAACTATTAGTCAATTACTTACTATTGTCATCTCCAGTCAAATTTCCTCTAGGTTGACTGGAAAGATTCCTTGCTCAAGTTGTGTATCTCATCGATTAATCTGACAGCGGAAAATATAAATGTTTTTATTTAAGAACAATTAATAACTTCCAACTATCAGAGAAATTGAGCTACCCAATCACTGGGACAAAGAATATGATCAGCTCGAAAAAATTGTTGACATGGTGGATAATCATGACCACGGCTTTTGATACACTTGAAGTAATCCACGTAGTTTTGCCAACAGTGTCTTGATTGATTTGTGTTTGAAAACGAGCATCGAATCCAGCTTGTAATTTTTTGAAAAGTATAATTTCATAAATTATAATTTCATAATCATATTTATTCATTTTAACTGATTCAAAGATAATAATAACCTGTATGTAACGTCAAAGTTGTTGGCTCCTCGTCTTTCTCATTACTGTTGTCAATAAAAACATAATTTTTCAAAAAGATTTACATTATTAAAACGTTTTATTAAAAAAGCACATTTCAATAAGGTTTTTAGCTTCGCCGATAGTTTTAGGAGAATCACTAGTCATTTAATTAAATAATTTGGAAGAAATTCAGAATATATATTTCTCAATGAACTTTGGAGTCAAATTTGAGCATAATGTATCCCATTACTTATGATTTAATGATGACGATTTATAATCATAATTTACGTGAGAATTAACGATACGACAAAGATAATTTTAGTTGGATTCACATTCGTCTTTGATTGCTTTTTAGCGATGTCTAGATCTATATTATTATTTAATTATACATCTATAGCTACCAATTAAAACTATGGTACTTTGTATAACCAATATAAAAATTAATACGAGAAACATTGCTGTACACTAGTTGTGTTTTTGTTTCTCGAAGGTGCTTTGTATAACCAATATAAAAAATCATTTATATGAAATTGAAGGTACTTTTAAAAAATTAATCTATATGAAATTTTAGCTTTGAGAAACACTGGTCCAAATGGCAACATTCAACTCGGTACCATACGGACTATTTTCGCGACAATTTGGACGGAGGCAATAGAACTCGGGACGAAATTCGAGCAAAGGCAATCTAATACAAACGTTATCTCTGAATTTCGTCAGAATTGCCACCGAATTCAGCAAAACTCGGACGAAATCGACAAGATTCGGACGAATTATCCGCTGAAATGACGCCGAATTACTACTATATTTTGATATTTGAACTAGGATTATGTGCTTTACATAGTAAGAACTCCTTTAGAGCTCCAACAAGCAAACATTTTATCGTAACTTTTGAATCATATGCTAGTCTTTGTAATGCAGCTTTGTTGCTTACAATTGGCGTGCTTATTAGTCTTATTTCTAGGACCAAAACAAATATACACGCAATATCTATTATCAATAAACTATACTTTGATGTCTTATTAATGTGTAATTACCGTACAACGCTGCATAAGTACTCCATTTGTGGAAAATTTGAACCTTAATTTAGACTCAAGGATAGTAATTTAGTACAAAATTTTGACGAACTTGTACCATGAACCTTAATTTATTCATTTCGCAGAAGCGTAATTGGTTTTTCTAAAGAAATCGACTAAATTAAGGTTTAAATTTTCCAAATCAGGTACTCTAAAGTCCATGACAATAATTAGTAGATACAGCGAGCAACCTTTTCGGAACGGTGATTCCATCTTGATGTCCCACTATGTTATGGATTGAATTCAGTTTACTGGATCTGAAACTTCCATATTATTCAGAATAAAATTCTAATTCTTTCGTTCAATGAATGTATATACAAAGAGTGACGATTTCTTATTTCTCTTCGATGAATTTTCAATGATAATGAAATTTCTTGTTTCTGTCGTTCAATGAATATATACAATGTACACACATTAAAAGAATCGTGAGTTGTATTTTGGAAATAACTATGCCAAAATAAAACTTATAACTACGTGACAAAGAGTTAAACTTAAACCACGCCACGTAATGACATATATGTTTCAAGAATGTGATAAGACGAAATCTTTTGAGTGTTAATGTATAATCGTTCTGTAAAATAATTCTGTAAAATAAAGAGCTTTTCAAAGATATTCTGCTCATTGAGCCATTTTTTTTGTAAAAGCATACAATTACTAAAGTCTTTTTGCTCTTTTATTCTAAGCTAACTCTAAGTGCTTTTCGTCTCTATATTTTTTAAATCTAAATAGCTAAATCCAATTGTTATAAGATTCAATTGATCTAATGAAAATAATTATTTCGCATCTATGAATATAACTTTTTAATATGGTCTTGATTTTTTTGACATATTATTTATTAGATTTTCATTAATTTTTTTTTCAAAAAATTCATTTTTGTTTTTGGTTTTAATTTGTATTTCCTGATTGTTTA